GGTCGAGGCTGTGGTGGCCGGGAGCATGCCACTGCACTCCAGTCTGGGTGACAGAGTGAGACTCCAACTAAAAAAAAAATGTGATTAGAAAAGAGACCCGGACAGGCTCAATGACTCAGCCTATAATCCCAGCACTTTGGGAGGCCGAGGCGAGTGGATTGCCTGAGTCCACGGGTTCAAGACCCGCCAGGGCAACCTGGCAAGACCTCATCTCTACAAAAAAGCAAAAATGAGCCGGGCGTGGTAACGCGCGCCTGTAGTTCCAGCTCCTTGGAAGGCTGAGGCGGAAGGATCGCCGGAACCCAGCAGGTCAAGGCTGCGGTAGCCGGAAGCAGCCACTGGACTCCAGTCTGGGTGACAGAGTGAGACTCCAATTCAAAAAAAAAACAAAACTCGGGTGTCGTGAGGATCACCGGTGTGGTGACCACACACACAGGAGAGGGGAAGGGGCTGGGACAGGGGTCTGTCATAGAAGAGCAGAGGGAGAAGAGAGGAGGGCTGGGGCCAAGCCTGGAGCAAGCACTAAGAGGAACCAAGGGAGGAGGCCAGGAAGGGAAATCAGGAAGCGGGAGGAGAACCCCAGGGTGCAGGAGCCACAGGGCAGCAGGTTTCAGAAGGGAGAGCCATGCTGCTTACCACACGGGGTGGGGGCTTGCCCTTGGGGTTAGTGGCCAGGAGGTGATCGGTCACCTCTGCTGAAGTTGTATCCACCGTGACACAGGAGTAGCCATCAGACTGGCGTGAGTTGTGGGAGGGAGAGGGCTGGGGAGAGGAAGGGATGGGGGTGGAGACCCCCAGAGAAGAAGAGATGAGAGGTGAAGGTTGAGGGACTGAGACGGGGAAGAACTTGTGGAACCTGCTGGCAAGACTCCAGTAAGAAGGGGAGGTTAAGTGGGTGGCAGAAAATTCCAGCAAGAGGCCCCTGGAAAGGCAAAGGGACCAGAGGAAAGAGATCCTTCTGCTCCTGGAGGGGTGAGGAGAGACAGTGATTTTCTATTTGGGAAGGAGCCTGGCGTTGACATGCCAGAGAGAAGGCAGAGCTGCCAACTTAGTTATTCTGTCTTTTCCTCCACGTGGCCCAGGCAGGGCCCACCACCCCAGGAGGGACCAGGAGACCCTTCTTAAACAGCCAGGGCGATTTCTGGCCCCAGAAGAACAGAGTTTCAGAGCCTCTTCTGGGCTATCTCTGATAAACCTGCAATCTGGGAGAACTAGAATGCCCATACTTTCAAAAACGGGGAGAGAAAATTAATAAGATGGGAAAGTGTTGGCTTGATGTTGCAAAGAATCCCCAGAAAATACTAGAGCGTGACTCAGAGAGCGAGAAGAGAACACTGTATATACCCAAGAGCATAATAAAATCGTTTTCCTTTCTCCTAAATGAAGTTTCCAAGTGGAGGAGCATGGAAACAATTCATTTAATGAATGAATATTTCAGCTGAGCCCTGGGAGAAGCTCCTCGCCATGTCTCTGTGACTACATGGAGAAAAAGGACTGCATGAGAGTGCAGTTAAGTGGATTCAAAGCTGGTTACACAACTCTGGCTGAATCCAAAGAAGACCGATTTACGCAGTGTATTGCCAATCCGTGATGTCTGTGTGGGTGGGTATCAGGCACATAAAGCATGCACGAACCTTGTTTTAAAATGCACGTTCCGGCTGGGCTCGGTGACTCAGCCTGTAATCCCAGCACTTTGGGAGGCCAAGGTGAGAGGATTGCCGGAGCCCACAGGTTCGAGGCCAGCCCGGGCGACTTAGTGAGACCTCATCTCTACAATAAATCAAGAAATTAGCTGGATGTGGTAGCAGGTGCCTGTAGTTCCAGCTACTCGGAAGGCTGAGACAAAAGGACCACCTGAACCCAGCCGGTTGTGGCTGCGGTGGCCATGAGCCTGGGAGACGAGACGGAGTGAGACTCCAACTCAAAAAAATAATAATGAGTGCGGGCATGTGTCCATTCATCTCCCCCACCTACCTTCTCACCCCAAACTAGCATTCGGGATGGAAACTCAGGAGTGGCGAAGTCAATCTGCGGATGGTCCCCAGTGGTGGGGGTCAGAGTGTGATGGATGACAGTCCAGGTTTGGAATGGTTTGTTCAGGCTGGAATGTTGAACTTAAACCAACCAGAGGCGATTTCCCAGGGATAGATGGAAAGTTCTGCTTTTGGTTAAAACAAAACAAAAGCCCGTCCAGCACTAGGAAGGAGGAGAGACTGGACTTGAAAGTAATTCAGGAAGAAATTCAGGAGCTGTCTTAGGTAGACCACAAGGTCAGTGGGGAGGAGAAGGGAGGGGTCATCAGGACACGAGGTCAGGTCATTGGGGGGCGGGGAGGGTCTAGGACATGAGCCCCTCTGCGGGGAGCTGAGGGGCAATCTGGACTTGGGTTCTTCGCTCAGGCCACATTGGAAAGTGACATTCCCCGATTAAGAAGGGGAGGCCCATAGGATGAGAGGTGTTCACCAAGCAAAGGTGGGGCAGGGAAGGAAGAGAGGCCTCCAGGCAGAGGGAAGAAGAACATGTGCAAAGGCCCTGTGGTGGACGGGCCTTTGGTGGGAGACAGAGCTGAATCTAGAGGCAGTGATGATATGGACAGGGATCTGGAGGCCTTCACCAGGAAGGACATGTCCAACTTGGAAAGCAGGAGGATGATGTGGAAACCACATTCAGATGTCTGATGGGGTGTCATGCAGAATTGGTGGTTTTTCTGGGCTGCCCCCAAAGACAAACCAAGATCCAGTGGTTTAAGGAGACACAGGTTTCAGCCCGGTCTGGGAAGGAACACTCACAAGCGGAGACTTTGCAGTGAAGAACAGGCTGCCTGGCGGGTGGCCAGGGGGTGTGGGGAAGGGGTGGAGAGTGTGGGCGGAGTCTCCCATTCCCGAAGGCATCGGGAGAGACCCCAGGGCAGCACTGGCGGCTGGTCTCACTAGACCGCAGCGGTTCCCAGGCCCACCTGTGCCAGAGTCACCTGGTGAGCTGGTGAAGATGTGGGTGCCCGGGCCCCACCCAGAACTGCCACATCAGAGCCCTCAGCCTGGCCCACAGGCTCCCACCTTTCAGAATCACAGGACGGTCGCCGAAGTGAAAAGTGCGGCAGAGCCAGCCTGCCAGGGACAAGCTGACTTTGTATGACCCTTTACCTTCACCTCCCCACTCCCAGCTGCCAGAACTTGAGACGTCATCCTCCCCCCACCCACCCCTACTCCAGGAGAGGGTTCCTTGACTAAAGTAAAAAATCTCTCCATGGACACACGGAGCTTTATACATAGCTGCCAAAACTTGGAAGCAACCAAGACCTCCTTCGATAGGTGAACAGATGAACAAACATGGTGCATTGAGACAGTGGATTGTTATTCAGCAATAATAAGAAAGGAGTTACCCACGAGAAGTCACGGAGGAACCCTAAGTGCACATTACCAAGCGGGAGAAGCCAATCAGAAGAGGCTCTTCCCTGTCTTGTTTCAACTGTGACATTCTGGAAAAGGTGAAACTATGTAGACGGTTAAAGGATCAGGGGTTGGCCGGGCTCAGTGGCTCAGCCTGTCATTCCAGCACTTAGGGAGGCCAAGGCGAGTGAATTGCCTGAACCCACAGGTTCGAGACCAGCCTGGGCAACTTGGCGAGACGTCGTCTCTACAATAAATCAAAAATTAGCCGGGCCTGGTAGCGCGCCTGTAGTTCCGGCTACTTGGAAGACTGAGGCGGAGGGATCGCTGGAGCCCAGCGGGTCGACACTGGGGTGGCGGTGAGTGTGCCACTCCACTCCAGCCTGGGCGACGGAGTGAGACTCCAACTCAAAATAAAAAGATCAGGGGTTAGAGGGAAGAAGGTTGAACAGATGGAGCACGAGGGATTTTTAAGCAGCACTGCTCTTCTGTATCATACTATAATTGCAGGTGCATGCTGTAAATGCAGACACGTGGTTATATATGTGTCTCAACCCATAGACTCTACAACACTAGGAGTGAGCCCTAGTGGACACTGATAATGATGTGCCCGCCTAGGGTTATCAGTTGTAACGGACACACCACTCTGGTGTGGGATTTTTCACTGTGGGGCACAAGGCTATGCCTGGGGTGGGGCATGGGTATATGGGAACTCTGCTTTCCACTCAATTTCGCTGTGAAACTAATACTGCTCTTTAAGACATTTATTTTTTAATATAAACACAAGCTGGGCGTGATGCCTCATGCCTATAATCCCAGCACTTTGGGAGGCTGAGGTGAGAGGATTGCAGGGTTCATGATCAGCCTGGGCAACTTGATGAGACCTCGTCTCTATGATAAATTTTTAAAAAATAGTTAGGCATGGTGGCGTGCACCTGTAGTTCCAGCTACTTGAAAGGCTGAGGCGGAAAGGTGGTGATTGTGAGCATGCCACTGTACTCCAGCCTGGGTGACAGTGAGACTCCGAATCAAAAAAGTAAATTAAATTAAATTTTAAAATAGGCTAGGCTCGGTGACTCAGCCTGTCATCCCAGCACTTTGGGAGGTCGAGGCGAGTGGATTGCCTAAGCCCGCGGGTTCGAGACCAGCCCAAGGAACTTGGCGAGACCTCGTCTCTACAATAAATTTTTAAAAATTAGCCAGGTATGGTAGCATGCGTCTATAGTTCCGGCTACTTGGAAGGCTGAGGCGGAAGGATCCCTGGAGCACTTCCCAAAGTGCTGGGATTATAGGCATGAGCCACCGTGCCCAGCCTATGTTCATTTCAAGTGCTGCCTAAGAGTACTGTGAGGTCCAGGAGAGTCGAGAGGAAAAAACTCTCTTCAGAAGAGCCCCAAGGGCTGGTGAGATCTTGCTGGAAACCAGCAGCACGTTCTTGGGGCTCTGGCTTCCGGGCGGTGACTTCAGCTGTGCTCTCAAGGGTCCATGGTGCTGGGCCTGCCAGAAGAAGTGTCAGCCTTTCAGAGGAAGGAAAAAGCCACCCTGCTGAGCCCCCGGCCCGAGCAGCAGAGGCTGAGGGCAAGGGACTGGGGTTTTCCAGGCAGCCCTAGCTGCTCCCTGGGAAGGGCAGAGGGCAGCTTTCAGGTTGACGCTGGGGTGGCCATGAGTGTGTCACTGCACTCCAGCAATGGAGTGAGATGCCAACTCAAAAAAAAAATTTTTTTTTAATTAATAAATACAAACATTCTCCCTTGGGAGTCACCTCTAACCTTTGTTTGGGTCTTGCCTGTAGCACTGCAGTGGGCGTTGGTTTCTATGGAAACAGCGAGACCAACGATGGGGTGCACCAGCTCATCTACGCCTTGGACGACGCCAACCACACCTTCTCTGGGATCGACACTCTGGTAAGACTCCTGGACAGCTGGCTGGGCATGGACACAGCCCACAAAGTCAGTGTGGTCGGATCAAAGGTCCCGGTCAGACCACAGCCAGCTCAGCTGCACATTGGGGGCTGCATGACACCAGAGGGTTGAACCTCTGCTCTGGACTGCAGTGGGTCCTGCCTGGGGCTGGTGGGCAATTTGTGCTTCCCAAGCCAGGAGAAAAGGCAGAGATGGTGACGAGGACCAAAGGAGGGGTGTGGGAATGACTGTGGGATCGGATCCCATTCATTTTCCAGAGGACTGAACACTTTCCCATTTGTCAAAGGAGAATTTGAATGTGGAAATTCAGCCCTGTGGTTTCTGTGTTCCGTTTTTTGTTTTTCTTTGGAGGTGGGGGAGTTGGTTGGTTGTTTTTTTGTTGGGTTTTTTTTTTGTTGTTTGTTTGTTTGTTTTTGAGTTGAGGTCTTGCTCTGTTGTCCAGGCTGGAGTATAATGGCACGATCACAGCCCACCACAGCCTTGATCCCTTGAGCTCAGACCATCCTCCAGCCTCAGCCTCTTGAGTAACTGGGACTACAGGTGCGTGTCACCACACCCAGCTTGTTTGTTTTTTTTTGTACAGACGAGCTCTCGCTATGTTGCCCAGGCTGGTCTAGAGCAATCCTCTGACCTCGGCTTCCCAAAGTACTGGGATTACAGGCATGAGCCACCATGCCCAGCCTATGTTCATTTCAAGTGCTGCCTAAGAGTACTGTGGGGTCCAGGAGAGTCAAGAGGAAAACACTCTCTTCAGCAGAGCCCCGAGGGCTGGTGAGATCTTGCTGGAAAGCAGCAACACGTTCTTGGGGCTCTGGCTTCTGGGCGGTGACTACAGCTGCGCTCACAAGGGACGATGCTGCTGGGCCTGCCAGAGGAAGTGTCGGCCTTTCAGAGAAAGGAAAAAGCCACCCTGCTGAGCCCCCGGCCAAGCGACAGAGGCTGAGGGCAAGGGACTGGGGTTTTCCGGGCAGCCCCAGCTGCTCCCTGGGAAGGGCAGAGGGCAGCTTTCAGGAAACCAGACCTGGGACATCCACCTGGCTGTGATCCTCCCTGGGCCAGGTCCCCTGTAGAGGGGTGACAGACAGCCTCAGCAAAAGGTCCGTTTGTGTCAAGCAGCCTCGACCACAAAATCCGGCCCCAGCAGGAGAATGTAGACATTGCCCTGGCATCCTCTGGAAGAGGATTGGACCTCATCTGTCCTGTCCAGCTCCCTTAAGCTCCTCTAAGGCTTTAATCCCTCAGTTGGCTCTGGGGTGAGGGGGTCACCTTAAAGAGACAGCTGTGCCGCTCCCCTATGGCCAAGACAACTGGGGGAGAGGCCCTGGCCCCCAGAGAGGGGCGGAGGATGGGTACCGGAGCAGGGGCTCAGCTCCCCGGCAGAGCTCATCGGGTCACCCATGTCCGCTGGGACCCAACTCTGAGAAGGGAGGAACTAATGCAGGATGCCGTTGGGCAGCTGACTGGGATGGAGGAGCAGAGGGACAGCCTCATCTCATCCGAGCGAGCAAGCTGGCTGCCGGGGCAGGGAGGCAGGGATGTGGCCTGGCTGGGGGGTCTCACCCTCTGGACTCCCTACCCTTTCCCGGCGCCCTGGTAGGGGAGGGCTCCATGGTCACAGCCTCCAGCCTCGGTCTGCCCTGCCTTGGCGTCATGCTGCTTCCCCTCTTCACATACCAGCACTGTGATCCCTGGAGGAGGAGCCCAGCCCCTGTCCTGCCCAGGGGAACCCCAGCCCTGACCTTTGCTTGCTGAGAGAAGCTCCCAGAACTGCCCTGATGGGAGGAGAGCTTGAGTTCTTCAAGTGCTTATTCCACGTGATGAGAGCTGGACAGGGAGATGGAGCTGGGAACAGGCCCCGTAGGCCGTGTCCATCTGCCCTAGGCTGGTCATGCTCCAGGGCCCAGTGTGGACATTTCCCACCAAGTCCCATGCTCCCAAAAGGAAGGCTGCTGTGTCCCTGGAGATCAGGCCCTTGTCCTCTCCACCATTTCTGAAGTGTGAGTCCCAGGGATCTCTTGGTGAGGATCCAGCCTCCGCCAGCTGCTTCCAGCCTGTGGGTGTCCACCTCCTCCCTGATGAGCCCCAAGAACGTGGGATGGCGTCTGTCGGCAGGTGGAGAGGCAGCGCCTGGGCTCTGGCTGAGACCTGTGAGGCTGGTTTGGGCCTCGGGGGTCCCCCAGCACTCCAGTCCCCAGGGCTTTCAGGGAGGCAGCAGCTCTTAGAGGGCCTTCCAGATCCGAGGAGGGAAGACCAAATGCCAAATAAATGGCTTTAGATGAGATAATGCCCAAGTGAAAGGGCTGGTAAACTACCACGTGTGCTCCAACCAGGGTGACTGTGATCATGAGTGCCACTATAGTCGTTACCATAATCACCAGGGAGTAGAGAAGAGGCCGGGGTGGGAGGCTGCGGGTGGCAGAGGCAGGGGAGGGCGTGTGCACAGGTCAGGTGGCTTGGACTTGGGCCTTGCTGGAGCCCAGACCGGGCAACTGAGTGGCCAACAAGAGGCACTCCGGGGCTGCACCCAACACAGAGTCCTCCTTTCTTGGGCCGGAAGCCCCACACCTGTATCCTTCCATGTGGAGGGAAGCCAGGTGGGTGGCAGTGCTGGCTCCAGGATCAGGCAGGCCTGGCAGGGTTCTGGATCGGCTGCATGCTCCCGTTTGGGGTATTAAAAAGGAGTCATTTGGGGAGTCAGGTGGGCAAGGGACAATGGGTCCTTTCTGTGACTCCAGTGCCCGCATCTGGCCACCTGGTGAAGTGCGCCTGGACACCAACGACTCACCCAGGGCACCAAACACACTTCTTCACCCCTCGGTCGCTTTTAACATAAGGCCCCGGGCCTTGCAACCCCCAGACCCTCCAGCTGTGCTGACTTGTGTTCATGTTCTTGGTTCTAGTGGCCAGTGGGTTTCTTCTAGGCTCTCCTTGGAGCCGCTGCAGGCCCATGGGATGCCATTAGGTGAAGAAACTGAGGCACGGGGATGCGACAGTGCTGCCCCAACGTTGAAATAAGTGTGTCTCAGAGCAGGAACCGGAACCCAAGTCTCGGTGTCTTAGCCCTGGTCTCTAGCACCCCTTATCGCCATGGGCCTGGCTGTCCACCCTTCCCAATAGCCTCATTAAGCCGAGGCACTTCCGCCCTCCTAGAGGTTTTCCAGCTGGAGCTTGCGTCAGGATCATCTCCTGCAGGGCTTATTAACTCTCGCAGGCCCCGCCCCGAATTGCTGGTTCAGTAGGTCTGGGTGGGGCTGTGAGCTCGTCTCTGTAATGAGTTCCCAGGTGATGCTGCTGGCGCTGTGGGTCCAGGGACCGCACGCTGAGAACTGCTCCATCCCACAGACACCATCCTCCCACCTCTAGCTCGTCCATAACCCTGCCCAGCCTGGGAGCTGACCTGTCCCCCCCTGTTCTCAGAGCTTCTCCCTTGGGAGAGAACCTGGGCCTATCTGTGGGGTGTCCCTGGAGGGAGCATTGTGTACTAAGCCTCTAGGGAATTGGGGTGACATGGAGAAGCAGGGAGCTGTAAGTAGGGCAACGTTGTAATTTTTTTGTGTGTGTCAGACTCACTCTGTCGCCCAGACTGGAGCTCAGTGGCACGCTCCCTGCCACCGCAGCCTCGACCTGCTGGGCTCCGGCGATCCTTCCGCC